AGTGGCACACATTATGAAGATTCCTATTTTTCCTGCCCTTCCTTACTCTTCTTGATTGCCACCCATTTATTATTTTGAATTCTTATTATCAATTAGGTGAACAGCTCCTGAGAAATATGGTTTATAAAACACTCATCTGTCCTGACTCGAGCTGCTCCTCAAATTTTAAAATTCTGTGCTCAAACTGAAGCAACTGGAGACATTTCCTTCACACGTCGTCTCCTGAGACATGTGAAATGTCCTGAAATTCCCAAATGGTGCAGGCATTGCAAGGAACAGGTCTTGGGCTGCCTAACCATGATCAAAACAAAAATCCTGTACTTCTTAGAAACCTAGATAAGATGTTGTTTAGACTAAGACCAAAATTAGACCTTTTCAATGCGTATGCTCTTGATTTACTGTTATGCATACCCCAATTGAAAATTTTAATTTCCCAGTTCCTAATTTGAATGAATGCGCTCGTTCAGAAAAAAGAAAAAGAGAAAAATACTCACCAATCAATCACTTCCTTTCTTTCCTGTCACATCACCACTTTTTTTTTCAAATGTGATTTGTTGGCACTAAATCCTCTCATCCGCAGCTTTTTTTAATCCTGCCACTATCACGGCTGTGCTCTTAATGCTTCTCTGTTGTTGCTCTTTTATCATCCTGCTTGTCGCACTGTGCTGTTAATCTTAATGCTTCTGCTGTTGCCGCCTTTATTTATCCACACCCAGTCTCAATGTGATTTCAATAATTGTGTAAAATTTTGATTACCTTATCTAAGGACAGATATACTTATATTGGACGTTGTACAGAGAAGGTTTCCTAGGTTGACCCTCGGATGAAAGTGTTCTTTTTGAGGAAACATTCAGTAAATTTGATTTATACTCAAAGGAGGTTAGCAGAATGAGAGGTAGTCTTATTGAAACATAAAAGTTTATGAGGAGACTTGACAGGCTCGATGGTAAGATGATGCTTCCTCTTAGGATACCTAGAAGCTGGCACATGATTGCAGAATAAGGGACACACGTTTAAAACTGAAATGAGGAAAAATTTCTCTCAGAAGATAAAGAGCCTTTTCAACTCTCTATCGCAGAGAGATGTAGAGATTGTTTTTCAATACATTCAAGATGGTGACAGGCAGATTTTTGAACTTTACAAAGTACGGGGTTTCGGGAACAGGATGGAAAACAAGGTTAAAATTAGATTAGCCATAACTTTATTGAATGACAACGCAGGCTCTAGAGTCTGTATGGCCTACTTTTGCTTTTGCTCCTCTGAATTACTGCTATTCTTCCCAATTGCCTCCCCTTCTACCTTGTAGATTTGGTAGTGCCTTTACCTTATTTATTTCAATGGTATTTCCATGTCAATTCATTTTTAGTTATCATTTAGTTCTGCTTAGTAGCTTTCTATGGCTTGGCTTGTGGTTATTAAGTTTACTCTGTAGTAAGATTTTCATTTTTCCTGAATTAACATTTTCTTGAATACAAACTTCCAAGTGGATTTGTATAATTGTTAATGCTTTCCTTTGAAGTTGACCTTTCTAAAATGTACCTCAGCTTTGATTTGTCCCAGATCATACTAAATATATGATGCAATCATTTAAATTTTGATAAAATGTACAATAAAACTCCCAACATTGTATTTTTCCAATAGTATGGTTTCAGATTGAAACCAGCATGTACCATTCTGATGTTTCCGATGCAGACATTTAAGTAAGGCTGCCAATTTAGAGGAAAATTGTGCAAATTTGAGGGCTTTCAGTGCATTGTTCTTGTAGTCCCCAAAAAAGATTGAGATGTGCCATAATACGTGGAATTTTGTTCCTAGCAGCCTTAAGTAGATTCCATTCCCAGGTTTCAGAAGTGAAATGACAAATACCCCAGTGTAACTTTGCAATTATTTTCATTTCCTTCCTTTCTAATAATTTAGAGAAGTTATATTTACGTTAGAAAATCTCAAGCACTATAATAGTTTCAACTTTTGATTCAAGACATTGTTACCTTCCAAGCTGCATCTCTACATATATTATGAATAAAATAATATAACTAGTCTGCATTTATTGATATATTTGTATTATCAAAGCTTTGTTTTTATCTTTAATAATAATTTATATTCACGACAGCATGCTTAACTGCATTTGCTTTATTTTTTAAATTAAAAGTTTCACTGCTATCAGATCATTCTGTACCAGTCAGAAGAATGGATAGACAAGGGCATCTTGTACTCAGCCTACATTGATGGTTCCATTCTGTGAAGTGGACTATAGGGGATGAGCCAAGTCATTTTTTTACAGAAATCAAATTTGTTAAAGGCGTATTTTTAAACTAATTTCTGGAATGGATAATGCTTAATAACATACAATTCGTGGTGAACAGTGTCACAAAATGATGGGGGTATGAGTTTGTAACGGTGAGTTTCCTTATGGAAAAGCATGATTTGCATTGTGCAAGTAAGCCACCAAATAAAAGGGGCAAAGACTAAATGAAGGTTGTCTAAGGGCATATCCTCTTTGTCGCAAGATACATAAAGGTGAGCACTGGAAATGCATTGTGTATTCATTTGACTGGGAAGGTATGTGATTTTGAGGAAATTTCATAACAACAGAATTGACAAGACAATTGATATGTGCTTAAAATTGGAAGCAAAATAGAATTTGTATTAATTGTTATACTGAAGCAATCTGAATTGTAACATGTTGAATTAATTAGCAACGTGTTTGGAACTGAAGTAGGAAGAAGAAATCTGAATAAAGTATGTGTGGAATCACTATGAATCATATTTCTCAAAAAGGTTTGAGAAGGGTCTCAACATTTTATTTTTCACCTTTTTTTAAACGGAAGTATATACACCCTCATGACGTTAAGATGCCTGTTTCATTTTCCCAGTTTTACTATTTGCACCTGCTCCGAATAATGCAATTTTCCACACTACCGCATTTATGTCTTCCTTTCACCTCAATCGTATATTCCCCAGATTACTCTTGCTGTGATTAATGTGATCCTTGACAATGTAGGTTTATTTTCTCCTTCTCAGCCTTTACCCTCCCTCCCAAAGCCATGATAGGGTTTTACTCATTTTCATTTTCAACCCCATTAAACTCTCTGCATAATGGTTTGGTCATTCTCTGTCATTTCTGCCACCTTCTGTGTGATAACATCACCAAAAACATCTTCCCCTTTCCATCCTTTTCAGCATTTCAAAAGGGCAATGTCCTTTGTAGCACCTGGGTCCATTCGTCAGCCAGGCTTCCATTTCACATGGTTACTGTTTCCATGCCAATGCAAAAGATGCAACACCTGCTCTTTTACCTGCTCACTGACCCAGCCCCTGACCTGTCTTTCCAGTTTAATACATTGTCGTCACTACACATAATGTGCCCTCCTGTACACTGGAGAAATCAGGCAGGGATTGGATGACTTTCTTCTGCCCATAGGGCACTATGTGGCTCAGTGGTTAGCACCTCTCCCTATTTCTGTGTGGGTTTCCTCCGGGTGCTCCGGTTTCCTCCCACAGTCCAAAGATGTGCAAGTTAAGTGGATTGGCCATGTTAAACTACCTATAGTGTCCAGGGATATGCAGACTAGGTGAGTGCAGTGTTAAAGGGATTGGGTAGGAGGGTGGGTCTGGGTGAGATGCTCTTTGGAGGGTTGGTGTGGACTTGATGAGCCAACTGGCCTACTTCCACACTCTAGGGATTCTATGATTTCTTGTGAAACATCTCCATTCAGTTTGTAAGGAGAGCCTAAACCTGTTATTTTAATTCTCCACCACCATTTCACTATGACATTTCTGTCCTTACCTCCTGTAGTATTCCGGGGAAGTTCAGACCAAATTCACGGAACAGTCTCATCCTTCAAATTGGAACTATACAGCCTTCCGGACTCCACATTGAGTTTAATCATTTTAGATAACAACCTCTTCCCCACTTTTACTTGCTTTCTCTTTGCTGCTTTGAATTACTTTTTCTTTTTTCTCTCTGCCATACAGACCTCTTCTAGGAGCATCTTTGGGTTAATTACTTGTCCTATTACTGGTCCCTTTAGCCTTGTACCTTTTGTTTTAATGTTTCCTGCCTTTCGTTCTACCATGGCCTTCTATTCTGATGGAGATCTTTGAGATGCCATGGTGAGAACACACCTTGATGGGTTCGGAGGTGGGGGAAGCACGCTGAGGGCTGTCCAATTGGCTCAGGAACCTGTCAAGGAGGAGTGAGGCAAACCCGTTGAGCTGGCTGCTCAGCACAGGCCTGTTTTACCAGTCGTTAAATGCAGTGGTAGTGAGATGAAGCCCTTGGGTCCCAATTGATTCACTGGTGCACACGCTGGCTAATGCCTCTGCTGGACAGGTATGGTGTGGTGTTGGGGACGATTATGCAGCAGACAGGCTGCCTTCTGGATTTAATGAAGTCCTCTCACCCTTCTTCAAACTTGTTGGTGGGGAATCATAAAACCCAATAAAAACCAAAAGATGCTGTAAATCAGGAGCAAAAACAAAGTTGCTGGAAAAGCTCAGCAGGCCTGGCAACATCTGTGAAGAAAAAATCGGAGTTAACGTTTTGGGTCTGGTTCTGAGGAAAGGCCACAGGACCTGAAATGTTAACTCTGATTTTTTTTCTTCACAGATGCTGCCAGAACTTCTGAGCTTTTCCAGCAGCTTTGTTTTTGAATCATAAAACACATTCTGCTAATTGGTTTCTCTCTCCACAGGCATTGCCTGACCTCAGTATTTCTTGTGTTTTCTGCTTCTTTTAACACAGTGTTGATCATGTAATGTAAATGAATCTGTTCTCTACAAAATAATTATTTCCTGCAATGTAATGTACTATAAGTAACCTTCTACTTCCTGTAGTATTATTCACATTTAGGTTTCTCGAGCCACAGACTGTTCCTTCAAAATAAAAAAATCTTTCTCTCTCCATCTCCTGTAGGATAAAGTTTCACCTTCATCAACTGTTAAGAAATAAAGCACACTTCAAAAACTGGAAGATAACATAACTTCTGTAGTATCTGGACATGAACGAAGCAAAAAATGCCCCTTGTAACTCAGGGGTTGTTATAGAGAACAAGCTGAACGTTTTGACACAAGAAACAGCTTTTCAAAATAAAAGTAAAAATCACCCAACGCCCTCAAAAAGCCAAGCTCCAAATAGTCATGAACAGATCTTTGTAAAGATGGATGCATTAAGCTCAGAATGCACACCACATGTAACAGCTAAGCAGACAACTTCTGACAAAAACCCATCTGTAGGAGAGCAGGGATCAAATAATGCACCTGAACACCAATTGATGGTAACCCAACAAGAAAATGAGGCACAACGTGTGAAAAGAATGCCTGGGCAGTCAAGTCAAGATTATGACACAGACACAAAGAACGCTGCTAATCTCACATCTGAGGCTGCAGCAACAGCAGAACCAAGCATGAAATGTTCTGATGACAAAATTGCTGAGCAAGTGACTGGTATATTGGCAAATGGAATCAACTGTGACTCGAAAGTTGGGGAGGATGCTGACAAAAGCTCAGAAAACATCATACTCATGCAGCTGGCTGAGAAAAAAGACAGCACTACTTTTTTGGAGCAGAGCTCAGCATGTGGCAAGGATACACAGATGAAACACTCTGCAGAAGATGTGCAGAAAAGGTAATTTACTGCAGGAGATGCATCAAGATTCTGCAGTTTCTTTAACTAACTAGACATAGCTGCTGATTATGACATTTTGTAGTTATGCCAGTTTTGATGCCTATCGAATAATTTCAGGATTATGGGGAACAATAAATAAAACTGCTTTTGGATGCAATATTATGCATATTCAAACCATATATCAATTAAATAGACCAAAAGTACTGCAAAAGCTGGAATCGTGCAGATTTTGAGATCACAATGTCCTTTTTTATAGTTTGTTTATTGCCTTTGAGAATTGATGGAAACAAATAACAGTTTTGCATTTAATGACACTTAACATGTAGATACTGTAAATATTGGCAAATATCAAACTCATGATTAATAGTTAACTCACAATTATTTTCACCCTAAAGCTTCGTGGTATAAGTGGGACTGCATCTGTGCTTACTTTTCAAGTCTATTGTGTCTGTCTTCTACTTTCTTCTTGTAAGTTGATAGACTGAATGAGGTGATGCTTACTGATTCTCAGTTTCTGCTTGGGAGAGATGGAAATATTCTATTATCTCCTGGAGTTGGTTGAGTCTTTATCTTGTATTCAAGCCAGCATGCCAAAGCTAACACAATTCCACGAACACTTGTTCCCCTTCATTTGTGCTATGTGCTTCACAAATGCTTAATCCTACAATTTGCGAATGCAATTTATGCCCATCTCCACCGCCACCATTACCAACTCTATGTCCCATCAGTGGAGTGGATATATATGTCCTGGCTACTATAGGAAGATAATACTGAAGACTTGATCTGGTTGGTTTGCATCAGCCTTTGGGCACTACCATTTTTTTCTTTTCTGGAATTCTAGGAATAAATTGGTCATTGAATTTTTAGATAGCAAGATACTGTTTTATCTCAACATTTTTCTGCATGGGGTAATGACTCTGTGAATAAGGAACAGAAAAGGGTAATGCTTATCTCTGACCTCATCATTCTTTCCAATTCCAATATAGCTTCTTAGCCTACAATCTCCAGTATCCTCTCATCTCGAGTTAAGGACTGAAACTTATGAAATTACTTTCCTGTCTGCATGTATTTTCAACAGTTGTATATACACATGTATTCCTCAAACAATTAGCAAAGGACATATGTTTAAACCTGAAATGCAAGAAAAATATGGGCCAAATGCTGGCAAATGGGACTAGACTAATTTAGGATATCTGGTTGGAATGGATGAGTTGGACCAAAGGGGCTATGCAACTCTATGACTCTATGATTATAATGACACCATAGCCTTAGTCAGGTAAGGGGATGCTTGTGTGTCATAAATCTTCTATTATTTCCGTAAATATTGCCATCCATAAGTAGCTTTTCTGGTTCTGTTGCTTCACTACTTTTGCAACCAGTTCAAGCTAAGTTGTGTTACTTTTTAAAGGATAATAGCATAGTTTGGAATCATAACAATAGCATCCTATCGTGATGTATTTCAAACAAATACAGCAAAATGGATCTGATCATTCCAAACGAAGAATAAGTGAACTCTTGGTGCATGATGATAGATATGAAATGTTAATCTGTCTGGCAGGTGGATATTCAGGCAAATTATGATTACCTTCATATAGATGACTTGGCAACTTGTCTTTGTATAATACACAGTGCAGAATATATCATATTTTCTGCATTAGATATTATCTTACTCGAATTTCAGACAGTCACATAACTTTCCGATACAATGCATGTGGCTGGTTCTTTGGTTGCTTGTTCAAGTCAACAGATTTTAATTTTTTTTGTTTATGGAGGATCTATCCTAAATTTAACTTTAGATGCCTATTACTTGGTGCTTTATTTAAAAGATTACTGAGAATATGGATATGTTTTCTGACAAAATTGGAATTTTGTAATGAACTTATTTTAAAGTTGTTTGTAAAATAAGTGGTTAAAAATCCTGACATTTGACTGTAAATGATGCAATTTTTTTGAAATATGTGAAGTGTAAGCATTCTTACTTAAAAGTTTCTGGACCCATTATGTTTCTTCCTTTCCTTCGCTTGGTTCCAGGCATCTATGAGGGGAGAAAAAGATTCTCTACAGCATTATATCTCCAAAGTTAAGCTTTTTTTGCCAAATTATTTTTTTTTTATTCTTATACATGACATTACCAACCCAATTCACTCAGAATGACCCAACTTAGTTTGACCCACAATTGTCACAAAATAGATTTTTTGGAGTAATTTTCTGACTTTGCCTTCCTAATCTGGAGTTGAGCCTCAGCTCATCTGCTGCTGAAATGTCATTCATATCTTTATTATTTTTCGACTTTACTATTTCAATGTATTTTTGGCTGGTCTCCCATATTTTACTGATTAAACTTGAGGTCATCCAAACCTTTGCTTGCGCCCTGATCATATCAAATTCCAATCAGCTAGCACCCCTTGCTTGCTGACCTACGTTGGCTCCTAGTGAAGAAGCACTTTGATTTTAAAATTTCTTGCTTTCCATTTCCATCAATGTTCATCATTCTAATTTTTGTAAATAATAATTGTAAGCTGTAGCCCAAAATAAAATGTAGAATAGAATATACTCTCCTGTCCATTGAGAACATTAGATATGACCACAAATAAAAAGATGGTGGTGAGGGTTTAGCATTTGATTCCCGAGGACCCTATATATTCCCTAGGTATTGGACAGAGAAATGTACTTTCTGGGTCACAGAATTGCAGACCTGTCTTCTGTTGTAATTTGTAGTGTTGAATCACAAAAAGAACAAAAAGAACCAACATTTAAAAGTCTAAAAAGGTATCACCTTTGATCCATTGGCTGCTCTGATACTTTCCTTGATGGGGGAATTTTCTCGAAAAAGATCCAACTTTCTTCATACCTTCTGCAGAACACCTCTCCACCCCCACAGCTAGATTTTGGAATGACTGTGTTCTTTCCCTGCTTTGGCTGTTAAATTCGTTACTAATTCCCTTTTAAAAGTGGTTAGTAATCCTTTCAGAGCTGCTAGAACAGAATGTTCCATCCCTTAACACTTGGGTGCTCCCAATGCATTGTGTGTATTGCACTGGGACTTCAGATGTTCTCATTCAACAAGCTAGTTTCACTTTATAGTTGCAGGTGTACTCAGCATACCATGATCCTTGGCACAAAGCACTGCAATATTTGCTGATGTAACTCTCAATTCATAAGATTACATCTTTGAAGAGAAGTGATTTTTTTTATAAGTGGAATTACATTGGAAAAAATATACTTGAGACCATACAGTTTATCCTTTAATACTTCTAGCATTATTTTTTCTTAGTAAAGGAATAAAACTGTCATTTTAATGAAATCCAGTATTGTCTCCACCTAGTTTAAGAAGTGTTAAATCTAAGTGTCTTGCCTTTTCATACCCTTTAATCTGACATCAGGAATAATAATGCAACAATCAAGTAGATGAAATCAATATTTTTTTCACGTATATTTGTTGATTTTGATTCTTTTTCATTTTGTTTCAGGTTTTCATGACTAACATTTGCAAAATGTTCCTTCTTTCCAAAGATGTATTTTTGCTTGTTCAATAAAAGAGTAAATGCCTACATTATACTGTTAAGTTTTTAAATTAATTTAAAATTTCACTAAACATTATTCTTTGTTGTAATGGTTTATTAACAGGCTGATAGTTGGAGAGACAATACCTAATGGTGCAACTGTAGAAAAAGAACAAGTCCAAGTGAAGGACAGTCGAGATGGATTCAGTTCTACATTTGAAAGAATTGTGGAATCTGACCTTATGAAGGGCACTTCATACAGTAGCCTGGATTCTTTGGACATGTTGTCACTGACCGATGAAACAGATAGCTGTATCAGTTTTGAAGCCCCTCTCACACCTCTAATTCAACAACGTATCAAGGAAACCCCAGAACTACTACAGCAGAAATTGGTTCAGGTTGCTGAACAGCGGGAGATCCTGGAAGCTGGAGTTAGCAATGACCAGGAACATCAGTCTAGGATGAATGAGGGAAGTGTTGAAAGTCCACTGAGACACTCACTTACCAGCAGCAGGTCTGAGAATGTCCTTAGTAGATCCTCTTTGAAGTCAATGCCAAATGGTTTGCACAATGAGAGGGATGAACTAGAAGATGACATCACCAAGATAGTTAAATCCATCAGGTAAATACTCTGAGTAAAAGCATTTTCAATGTATCATAATTGTGGTGGAAATTGTTATGTTAAACATTATTATCTTTTAAAAATATATATTTACAAAATCTTACAATTTAATGATGGAAATTTGATATTTTGTTGCTCTTAACACATTAGGTGTAATTATCAGAAAATTGTAAACTCTGAATCTATGATTTCCATCTAATGAAATGTTGAATGGAATATTGTGGGCTAGGAGTCTCAAATGATTCACATAGATCAAAACAGCAGTTGTTCAACAGTGGTGGAGAAGGCTTGATTTAAGAGGAAGTTTTTGGGAAACTTTTGAAAGTGGAGGAGTTATCTAGCAAAGCAGAAGAGTTTAAGAATATAATAGGAAAAAGAATGGGATGTTTAGCAAATGGGAGGAGGCTTCTGTATTCTGGTACTGCAGCCCAGGGGTATGGACCATTGCACCAACCAAGTACCAATATGGGAACACAAGCAACATTTACAAGATTAAAACCACTGAAACACAAGGCTGCTTAGAAGCATGCTGGGAGGATCTTAGTTGTTGTTGGGAATGTTAAATGGAAGCAGGTTTGCCCAGAAGCCTGATGTCTTTAGTTTTTTTTTGATTTTACCATTCGTGGCAACCATGGAAGGTGAGCTTCACATATTAATGTGGCAGAATAACACATAAGATATTTAAAAGGACAATTAACTGGAATTTGATGTTACACTTTGGATTTTATTGATGGCACCCAAGGACGATAGGGCTTCAGAAGATCATCTGTTTAAAGTAGGTAGTAAGTGAAAGCTGCATACTGGTTCTCTCAGCCAACTAGCAAAAGAGCCAAAGACAAAAATAGAAAATGCTGGAAAAGCTCAGCAGGTCTGGCAGCAGCTGTGGAGAGAATCAGAGCTAACATTAGTTCTGAGGAAGGGTCACTCGACCCAAAATGTTAACTCTGATTCTCTGAACAGATGCTGCCAGACCTGCTGAGCTTTTCCAGCAATTTCTATTTTTGTCTCTGATTTACAGCATCTGCAATCCTTTTGTTTTTTAATCAATAGAACCAGTGTGTGGTGACATGGAGGATGGTGCTCATTGGGGATTGTCAGTGATCACAAAAAGGGAAAAATGGAGCAAGCATTGAGGAAGCCATGTTTCCAATTTAATATTTCCTCCCAAGGAATGAAGTCAGGAAAAGGTTTGGGGACGTGGGGTTTGGGAGGCAGTGTAATTCTGGATAGAATGCCTAAGAGAGAGTCCCACAGGCCTCATATGCTAAGGGTTGAGAGCTGCCTTAGTTGTTGGTACAGCACAAAGGGAGGGGGTTTGTTGGGGTATGCTGAGAAGCAAGAGTGCCACACAGTGTGGGCATGATGGCGAAAGGTGCAGTGAATCTTACCAACAAGTAAGAAAGGCTATCCCCAACAGACAGTCCTCAAGTCACAACTGGGGTATCTCCTGATGTCCATATGGCAGTATTAGCAATGACTGCAGCTCTTCAGGGAGGCAATCACTGTCTTTGAGCTATTCTACACAATGAGCTGTAATACTTGCAAGTTGGTGGCTATCCATTATCAGTAGCTCCAAAGACCATCTTGATTTTCATGGAGATGTATGTACAATATTTCATTCTATGACCTGTCTGTGCAACAAGGAGGTGATTAGAGTCATGTTCAGCAGAGTAAGTGCCTGAGTGCATTGACACATTGATCTAGGCATTCAGGAGATGAAGTCTGTTGGCTTTAGGGGCCATCACTGGATTCTCCAGACGCAGTGCAGTCAATGACACTCATGTGACATCAAGGCCACCACTCAGAGACCAGGGGCTTTTATCAAAAGAAAGGGTTTCCACTCATTCAATGTTCATTTGCTTTTTTTGACAACTGAACGTAGATACTTCAAGTGGGTATATGGTTCCCCGAAAGCAGCTGAGACACCTATATACTTCAGTAGGTCAAATGCTACAGCTTATCTCAAACCACCATGTATCTTGGATAGATATGAGGAGACAGGAGTTATCACTAGAAACATAGATAATCACTCCTGTGAGGAACGCATGCATAAATGCAGTGGAAAGGTCCAACACCTGCCATAAGTCAACATTCAATCAGGCCATTCAGTTTCTGAAGAAATGATTCAGGTGCCTAGTTTGATGTGATGGAACCCTTCAATATGCTGCAGTCAGGGTCTTGCTTATCACTCTGGTCTGCTGTACATAACTTGCTGCTGCAGAGAGAGTAGGACATGAATAAGGAAGAAATTGTTGATTGCAATGGCTCTTCAGATGATGAGGATACAGAGGAACATGAGATGAGGGACTCTTCGTATCACAGGCAAAGTTGAATGCAGTATGCCCTCATACATAGACATTTATTGTAACGCGTCAGCTCTTTCAGAAACTGAAAGAGGTCTGGATTTTAGTGAACTGAAGCAGGTCATTGATACGATTGTGACACAGGATTCAACTTCTTTGAGTGGCTCTGTGGCTGCTGTCTGCCTCTATGAAGCTTGCTCAGGTGAGCTGGTCTTCTCTCTGCATCCGTGCGGGAACGATCTCATGTATTGCCCTTGTAGTCTGGAGGAGAACCTGCACGGAGGTATCTTTAATCATGGGGCCAACTGATGCATTCTTACTCCTGTGGAAGGCAGCAGTCAGATAGAAGACTGTTGTTTAAAGGCATTGGCTAGACACCAATGGACAGATGGAAAACTCTTGGTTGATGAGAACATTCAGGTGACACTGTTTGCGGTTAGCCTGAGGGCCACTCCAGTATTGCATCAGTCTTGCTTCCAGCCGCTGCCGTTCAAATCAATGGCCTCTGTGCCTGCCCTGCTGTGAGATAATGTGTGATTGCCTCTGCATGTCTGACTAGCAGAGGGTCTGCCTTTCAATGCTGCCACAAAGACCTTCAGCCTTGACACGAAATCCAGCCATAATGTTAGCCACATGACACCTTTACTCATACTGTACTGTATTTTGCCCAAAAGACTGGATGCAGTTACATTACAAAACCATTGAGTGGCAGTGCTTCAATCTTTTATTTACAATAAACAAAGTTGGAGTATTCTGCTTAAAACTTCTACCCGGATATTACAACTTTGCACTACCACACTACCCATGATGAACAATGCTGCTATCCATTTATTTGTTCCTTTACAAATGCACACTCTGTTCTCAAACCTCAAATTTTCTGTGTGCTCGCTCTGAAGATTCTTGGGCTGTTCCAGAGTGGAATTTCCCACACAGGAATTTTATTCTTAGTCTGAGCTTTTGAGAAGCCGAGATACTCAGCAAATATTTCCATGGTCTTGCTCAGCAAGCCATGTGATTATTCCTGTTATCTCTATCCTCATTTGAAAAGTTAGATATACTACTAACTTATTTTGCCTCAGTGCAGAGTTCTTGTCTGCTTAAAGTGCTCCCCCTTGAGAGAAGTCCACAGAGGCTTGTATCTTATCACCAAGTTATCCTTTATTTACACATGCCTGCCTCTTGCACCTAGAGCATCTCAGAGGAAATTCATCCTTTTCTTCAGCCAGTAAAAGTGTCACGACTGTGACATCCTCCGTGTCCATCTCAAATTCCAAGATTTCTTCGACGCTAAATGAAGGGGAAGAACCTGTGGAGTTTCTTTTTGGTGGCTTGGCCTCAAATCTCATTTGATAACATGCTGTAAATTTAGGAGCTGGATTAAAGGTGGTATACAAATGGAAATTTTATTGACTATTCTATCCTTTGTGCAGAAGTGAAGAGACTGGTGTTTAATTAGCTGTCTGCCTGCCACCATCATATACTACCGATCTGGTGGGATTTCCTGACGTCAGCTGAATTAAATTTTCAAAGTAACATTGTGCCTGCTGCTGATAACTCACAATTTGAAAACTCTTAAACTGTAAGTATTTTTTTCTGCCTGGTGAGGAAGGCACTGATTATTAAGTTCTGCTTGAGAAGTTCAGACATCTGGAGGAGGTCTCTCTTTCCACTTGCTTTTTGAACCAGCTTCTGCTGGAAGGTGGAAAGGGAATGTAGCTCTGTTTGGAAATGTGTAGAATAAACCTAAACTTTTTCTTTTAACCTGTACTAAGTAGATAGGCAAAGAATACATTCACAACAAGTTATATCTGAACTTGTTATTCAATGTTGGATGTTGCAGATTCCAAACTCTCAGAAAATGTTGCTGTTATTTTGAAGCTTCACAAGTGCTCATTTTACAGCAGGCCACACTTTATTACTACTGTTTAAAATCTGCACTGAAGGTAAAATCATCATAGTCCTACCGGACCATATGGCTGCTCTCTCATTAGAGAGAGATGACTAGTGGTGGTTTAACCTGAGAGTCACCATGCCTCAGGTGAAGGTAGAGTTTGAGAAGGAGAGTCCTTCACAGTAACCTCAGCTGGTAAAGGAATTGAACTCATGCTGTTGGCCATCCAGCCAACTGAGCTAACCAACCCCCAAAATCTGGACTATCATCACATTGGCAGTCAGAAAGTTGGTGTACAACATAAACTCACAGAAAAAAACACACGCATGTTGACCTACTCTCGCATGAAATAGGATTTAAGGTGGACATCTGAATGTGACTCTCTATCTCTTCAAACATCTCACATGCTTCTCTCATTGTAGGACAAAGTGAAAACTAATAGGTGGTAACTAATCCAATTGGAGCAAAGCCTCATGACTTTTTTTTTATTTATTCATCTGTGGTTTGTGGGCATTGCCGGCTGGCCAGCATTTATTGCCCGTCCCTAGTTGCCCTTGAGATGGTGGTGGTGAGCAGCCTTCTTGAATTGCTGCAGTCTACCTGCTGTTGGTTGACCCCTAATTCCATTAGGGAGGGAATTCCAGGATTTTGACCCGGAACGGTGATAAATTTCCAAGTCAGGATGGCGAGTGGCTTGGAGGGGAACGAGAAGGTGATGGTGTTCCCATTTTTGCTGTCCTTGCCCTTCTAGATGAAAGTAGTCATGGGTTTGGAAAGTGCCGTCTGAGGATCTTTGGCAAATTTCT